GAACTTGACCTGTTTATGCTTCAAAATAAAACTTGTTACAGTGGCCTTGAGCAAAAAGTTCCATTAATGTAAATAGATCATTGTTTATAGGTCTAACCACTTCAAGATCATTTTATTGCTTTGCTTAATTGTCTGTTTTATCAAGCATTGACTGTGGCACATAGTAGGCACTCACCAATCCCTTGATTCTAAAGAAAAAATTGTTTATCTTTCTGTGATTGTGCCTTGGATTATTTTCTGGCCAGAGCACAGAACAAAGAATCCCAGAGAAATGTTTGTTTTGTTTATCTATTTGCTCAAAAGCTCTGAGTTTTCTGTCCAGTGTGGTGTGTCCAGGAGGAGAAAGTGGTTGTAAGATACAGACTGTTTTCTGCATCTACTTTCTCTTCAGTATGTTCTGTTTTCAACAGGATTAGTATAGATTCAACTTAACTAGAAATTTATTTTCTTATTTAAAATACTATTAACTTCCCCCTTTGAGAGAGTCATAGTATTTTAATTATTTAGTTATTTTACCTGACTTGAATAATCAAAGATTTATGTTTTTAGAGTAAACCCCATTTAAAAGGGAAATTTATATTTTACTTAAAAAAAATTTTTTTTTAATGTTTTATTTGTTTCTGAGAGAGAGAGTGTGTGAGCAGGGAAGGGTCAGAGAGAGAAGGAGACAAAGAATCTGAAGCAGGCTCCAGTCTCTGAGCTAGCTGTCAGCACAGAGTCAGACGCGGGGCTTGAACCCACAAACCTTGAAATCATGACCTGAGTCGAAGTTGGACGCTTAACCGACTGAGCCACCCAGGCGCCCTGGGAAATTTCATTTTTAAAGTATTTCTAGCAATTTGTAAGATTCAGTGTCTCAGTAAACTATTTTATCTAGATTGAAAAAGAAAAAGAGACTTGGCTCCAAAGTAACATTCAGATAAGCAATTCTCTGAGAGCAACCTAAATGTCTGCTTGTAGGGAATTGATAACTTGGTGATCTATTTGGTTGATAGGATATTCTACAGATCTTAAAAAGAATGAACTAGACCTTTCTGCATCACATCAATACGGATGGACCTCAAAATCTAAAGTGTAGAGTGACAAATGCAAATTTCAGAACATTGTATAATTGTTATGTAAACGTGACGCATTACTTAAAATAAGGTCACATCCTATGTAATGTTTATGAATGTGTGTGTGTGTGCATGTGAGTAAAAAGTGGACCCACATGCACATGTTTGAATATGAGGAAAGTTCCACGTTGACCTGCTCCTGGGAAGCTCTCACGGCTCTCAGGTCCAGAATAAGGACCCAGGCAGCAGAATCCCAAGACCAAACTCTGGATGCCACCTTCCAGCTTTGAGACCTCGGACAAGTTGAGTTCTCTAAGCCTTTCTGTGTCCTTATCTGCAGACTTAGAGTAACAACGCTCATGCCAGTGTGTGGTCAGTGAGTTCCTGTGTGCGGGTAGGCATGCCGCCCACATTAGCTATTACTGTTTTCATCATTGCTCTTATCAGCAGCCTCAAGTCTTCTGTGTAAAGTTTTCTTTCTCATCTCAGAATCTTTGCAAATGCTATTTCCTCTGCCCAGAATGTTTTTCATATTCATCCTTTTTCATCTGGTTAACTCTTGAGTGGGGTTCTCTGAGAATTTCCCCAAATTCTTCAAAGAAGCTCTCTGTTATTCCCTAGCTAGGTCAGTTTTTAGCCATACCAATATTGTAACTTAATAATTAGCCATGACCTTCTTGCTAATACCTGCCTCTCTCTTGGATTATAAACTGCCTTTTTTTTTTTTTTTTCCCTCTTCACGACTTTATCTTTAGTGCACCGAACAATGTCTGGGATAGAATAGGCATTGAGAAATTTAAAAAAAAATTTTTTTAAGGTTTATATTTATTTCTGAGAGAGAGAAAGAGATAGTGTGAGCAGGGGAGGGTCAGAAAGAGAGGGAGACACAGAATCTGAAACAGGCTCCAGGCTCTGAGCTGGCTGTCAGCACAGAACCCGACCCAGGGCTTGACCCCATGAACCGTGAGATCATGACCTGAGCCGAAGCTGGACGTTTAACCAACTGAGACACCCAGGCGCCCCAGGCATTGAGAAATTTATTGATCACATCAACACTTATTGTAGAAAGTGGAAACTTTCAGAGTTAATTTTATCAGTAAATAAATTTGACTCACTTTGCCAAAAGGATTAACCTACTAGTACTAGGAAGTAAATCTAGGATTATATGATTTCATAAAAAAAAATTACATAAACAAATCACATACATTGGTTTATTTGTAATAATATTATAAAGTACCCCAAATTAAGATTTGCATCATGTTTGTGAGTTGTCTTTAGAAAATCCTCTGATGGATAATAATATAAGCAGAAACAGGGACTTTCAAAGCACTGAAGGAATTTTGATGATTCTGGATGGATAGTAGGGAAGTGAAATTTCAGGTCCAGGTAAATAATGCAAAGCCTTACATTGAAAAAGAAGACCACAAATTGTAGCCTTGGGAAACTTACACTCTCCCCACCTTTGGAGACACATAATTTTATAACAGGTCACTGGGAAAGATTTGTAGCCATGTTTTCTCCATTCTGTTTCTCTGTTAAATCTAGAATTATAAGTAGAAATAATAAGTAACTGCATTTTTTAATGCCGAGTGTCTATTCAGTCAGTCATTAGTCACAACACAGTTATTCAGTTTTAAGTATTTGCCAAACTTGGAGTATGAGCATCATTTTTGATTTGTTTTGTTTTGTTTTGAGGGAGAGAATCCCAAGCAGACTCCTTGTTGTTGGTGCAGAACTTGACTTGGGGCTTGATCTCACAAACTGTGAGATCATGCATGGCCTGAGCTGAAGTCAAGACATTTAATTGACTGAGCCACCCAGGTGCCCCTTATTTTTTCTTAATGGAAGTAAAGCATCTCTTCTTTAGAACTGTTCAAAATTAGTTGTTCAAAAGTATGACGGGGGCAGGTACTGCAAGATACCAAGATGCAAACTTTGTAAAATTTTGGATGTGTGGACTCACAAACTCCTCCTAATTACCACTTAACTATTTATTAGTCATCTTCCCCCAAACCAAGGCTGGAGAAGGACTTTTGAAGTCATATGTTTAGAAGACTCTGTGCACTTTGGGGAACATGGGTTTAAATACGTTTTAATGCTTGTAATCAAGTGATATCCTTGACATATATATGATCCATGATCTTGACCCACAGTCTTGGCATCACCTGGCTGGTTGCTTCAAATGCAGATTCTCAGCCCCCACCCCAGATCTACTGAATCAGCATCTACAGTTTAACAAGATGCTCAGGTGATACCAATAGACATTCAAGTTTCTTAAGCACTACTGTCCAAATGTCTCCCAAGTGATTTTTAGGACAAAGTAACTTTAGTAACAAGTGACTTTATTATCTGACCAATCAACCTGTATTATCTTTAGGCAACCCAAATATTAGCAAGTTCTCTCCTACTGAGCTCAGAAATAACTTCTTGAATATTGCGTTCACTGGCTTTGGTTTAACAACCTGCCCCCTCATCCTGCAGCCTTCAGAACCAAATTAATGCCTCTTCTTCATGAACATCATTCAAACATGAGAATGTGTGACCTTGTTTCCTCCCTTAAGTTAAGCTTCTCCAGGTGTAACTATGTCTCCATCCCCCGAGCCATTCCTGCTATGATACTGTTTGGGGTTCCTTTACTAATTATTCAGACTAGATCATTTTAAAGGATCTTTCCAACTTCAAAATTGTGATTGCTCTTTTACTTCAGCTACTAATAAGTACTATTGGGTAGAAGATGATAGAAACCCAAGAGCTGTACTTTATTTGCATTTAGGGAGTATGACTCTGGGGCACAAATGTATAGTCATCCCTAATTTCCTTAGGCTCAAAATTCAGGTTCGTGGTAGAGACTTCCATTATAATAATAGCTACTAAAGAGCACTACTTTGCCTTTCTTCTAATTTTTAAATGCATCAATTACTTCACATTTCCAAAGTGAAAATAAGCATTTTTTGTCTAGAAATTTTCATTTTCAAAGAAAAAAATTTCCTGTAATCCACAACTCAGCACATCAATGTATTTCATTTCTCTCCAGTGTCTTTTGGCAATATGTCACACACACATAGAAATAATCTTAGTGTTCTCAGCTTTTCAATGTTTTCCTTCTTTACTTGGTAGAATCTAAATATTTTTATGTTTTTCATAATAGTTAAGCACAAATATTTCCTTATTGTAGGACATTAGAGTTCGTAGTGGCTTCCGAAATAAAGTATTTGCCGTGTTTTTTTTGGTTTTGTTTTTGTTTCCTAAGAATTTTTTTTAATAACATATTTTCTACCAACATAAGTATACAACATGCAATCTTCGTTTTGTTTGTTTTTGTATCAGGGTTAGTCTTGTGTAAGAAAAGCTGTAGCAAGAGGCGTCTGAGATTTTTTGCAAAGTTTTCTTGAGACAGTAGCCCACACACAGCACATTCTTAAACTAGTTTGCTCTTCGCACGAATTTCTCCATGCTTCCTTTCCCCTCATGTCCTTCTAGATATTTTAATTCTTCTTGACCTCCTCATTCCCCTGTCTCCCTTCCCTTCCTCCTCAGAGAGTTTTCAGAGCAAGCGCAGTCTCTCAGTTCTCTCACCTCTGTATTTAACAATAAAGCTGTGTGTATGTGTGGGGAGAAGTGGAAAATAAGACACATGGTTCTTTCATTAGCAGGCTGTTTTGGATTCATTGAGCTGCATGTGTTATTTTTTTTTTTCAAGGAGTCTGAGCTGGATCCTGTGGATAGCCAGCCATGAACTATAGTATGTAACATAGGCTGCTGGTTTTGCTCTTGGGTTTTTTTGTTTTGCTTTTTGGTAATTTCATCATCCTGTAAAGCATTTTGGGAAGGGTCCGCAGTGAGTTTACCAGATGTATTCATTAAACATTTTTTAACGGCTTAAAGTTTTCCTTGGGCAGTTAAGCCCATTCTTAACAAGCATGCTATGTTTGTATTTTACTTCAGCACTTGCAAGTGAGGAAATAGCACCGCCCTTTGTCGTGGATTATTTCTAGTGGAGAGGCTCCAACAATTTCGCAGACGGACTCCTGGGCCTCTGGAACCCGTACCACATCCTTCACATTCAGGAGCAGAGAGCCTTTGGGAAACAGATTCCTAAAAGTGGAGGTAAGCCAAGGCAACACTACCACTGTCTCACACTTTTTAGAGGTGAGTGTGAACACTTGAAATGTCCGTATACAATGTTGCTAACTCTAGCAGATGACTTTCTTTTTTGGAAGAGCACAAGTGGGGGAGGGGTAAGGGAAGGGGGACAGAGGCTCTGAAGTAGGCTCTTGTGTTGCAGGCTGACAGCATGAGCCCGATGTGGGGCTTGAATTCATAAACTGTGAGATCATGACAGGAACTGAAATCAGTCACTCAACTGACTGAGCCACCCAAGTGCGCTTAGCAGATGACTTTAAAATACCATTTTCTTCTTTGTATACAGCTGCCTTAATTTATCTCTTATTAGTTCAACATGTGGCCAGAGGGCCTATGAGACTCTTAAATTAACCAGTGACTGGTCAGCATTTCCCAAACTTAAGCTATGGAAGTAGTAGTAGTAGTAGTAGTAGTAGTAGTAGTAGTAATAATAATAATAATAATAAATATATATAATTATAAGTTTATTTAAGTAATCTCGATACCGAATGTGGGGCTCAAACTCACATCCCCAGGACCGAGAATCTCATGCTCTTCTGACTAAGCCAGCCAGGCACCCCTTAAATGTTATTTTTATTCTCAGTGTGAATAAGTCTTGTTTGGGACTGTTCTAATTCAGTATAGAAGGGAACAAGTAAGAAAACGCTGAAGTTAAAACTAGAACATTACATGCAGCACAGCTATTGTAGAAACTGCTGTTAAGCTGTGTAACCTTGGGCAAGATGCTTGCCCTCTCTGGGCCTTGTTTCCTCAATAGAACATACTCTAGTTCCCTCTCTGTCCTTAAATGCTACAATTAATTGTATTAATAATAATTGTACTGAAGTATCTAAATATAATTTTTAGGCATATTCTCCTTATCGTTTACAAATTGAAGATTCATTTCATAAATTTATTCTGAGATCGCTGTGGAGCTCAAATGTGCATCAGGAATCAGCTCCATGTTTTGCCCATGCATCTATGCAGTATTTCCGATTGGTTGTTCTACTAGCAAATTTGTTATGTTACTGTTTGGTTTGACAATGGTTTTGTGAAGGGCACCCATTGGCTGAGCACATTATGCTTTAGTGATACTGGCACATTTGGACATTTGCAATGGTTTTGGCATTTTGGTCCTTGGGACTCTCTTGAGCTCTTCATCGTTCACACCAAGACTGTTCATGAGTAGCTTCAGCGCCCTTCCCCAGTGTCCTGGGCTGCTGGGCTTGCAAAACTATTGAGCACCACAAACTAGATGTATGGCTAGATCTTCAGCTTTCTTATTTCCAGATATATCTTTATTTAATGGGAATCTGAGCTGTAATCATCTTACTGATTTGTAGAACTGCCTTTCCTGCCAATCTTTACATCTCTCGGCATCACATGGAAATATTTTGACTCTTTATAGCATAATAGTGGAGAGCATGGATTCTGGTGTGTGCCTGTGTTCAAATTCAGCTCAGCTCCTTACTGCCTGGGTATTCTTGGGGACGTTAGAATTTCTCTGTGCTTCAGTGTCATCGTTTGTATGATAGGAATGACAGTAGTACCTTTCTTAAAGAGTAGTTTGAGGATTAAAATAAGTACATTTCTATTTTAAACAGTTCTATTATGTAAACAGAATATTTAAACTATTTTTATTACCATCTGCTGCAGTATTTTATTTCTGCCTGCATCCTCTGGGGCTGACAGATACTCAGCTTTCCATCCTTACCTTGTTAACATTGCCGATTGACTCTGGTACTGTATTTCCTTCTGAATCTAGAACACAAGGCTTGAATCCTTCTCAACAGGATCATGGTGCAAGAGGCAACTATTTGTCAACTCCGGTTTATTTGCAGAGTTCTGGATTTTATTTCTTGCTTCAAGACATAAATTTGATATGCTGCTTACAAGTCTGAGTTGTTTGTTTTTACCAAAACTCAAGAACAGTTTTCTTATGACAAACATAAGGTTGTATCTTCTACAACCAGAAATAGGGTCTCATTGTAACATTAGTTTTGCTAATGAATTACTACTATCTTGAATGCCTTTCATTTTTTATTCAGAAGCAGATGAATAAGCCTTCCTACCTACTTTGAAATATTGAAATGAATGTGCAGAAACAGCTAGCATAGTAATGAAAGTTTAATCTTTTGAGGCCATTGTTAGTACAATGTCATTAGTCCTTTAGGGTGTTTGCCAGGATGTTACAAAGTTTATTGTTTTAGTCAAGGGTTGGTATATGGATAGCTGATATTTCTTAGTTTTAAATGGAGAATTAGAATAAGGTTAGAAGAGTCCTTCCTATGGGCCAGACTTTTACCCAAGTGCTTCATATTTACTCCTTATGGTATCTCTATTAGGTGGTATTATTCTTTCCATTTTACAGCTGAGGACACTGAGATATAAAGAGGTTAAGCAACTTCCCAGGGTCCTATGGTTAGTCAGATATGTAGAGCTGAGACTCGGACCCATGGGGTCTGATTGCCACGCAGGCAACCTTAACGCCGAATTAGCCTGCTACCTGCAAAGATTAAATTGCATGAAGAGGAAGATGAGAAGAAGGAAGGACCAAATTATAGAAATCTTAAATGCCAGGCTAAGTGATTTTGTGTTTATTTGGCAGACAATGAGAAGCCACTGAAGGCTTTCCTGTGGGCGGGGTGACAGAGTAAGAGCTGGGCTTTAAGGATTTTACACCCGGTACAGCAGGTGAGCTGGTTTAAAGAGAAGGGAGATTAGAGACCATTGCTAGAAGCTGAGAAGCAATGAGCACGTGGGTTTAGAAACCAGGATTAAGATAAGAGCTTGGGAACGCCCATAAATGGCATGCCAAGGAGGAAGAGACCTAAACACGAGGGTAGAGAAGTGAGACCCAGGCCAGTGAAGTGCCACCTAAAGGAGGTGGTTCAGAAATTGAAAGCCATGGAGGCTGGAGAGGACTGGAACAAAACAAAGGCGAGTGGGTTGTTATTGCGCACCCCCCATGAGACTGGAATTGTGCTGGAAGAGAGTCCATGTTAGGATGCACTGCGCTAGCGATTCTGCTCCTTGTGAGTGAGGTCCCCGTGGGCACGCTTTTCAGTTGTTCTAAATCCTGGCTGTTTCTTCTGTAATATGGTGACATAAGACCTTTCTTTGTCAACATGCCCTGGACTCTTTCCTGCTGTAAGATCTGTAATTCCAGGGTTCAAGTTGTGAATTCCTTGATCGCCTACTTGTAGGTAGATAAGCTGTTGTAAAGGTTTGGCTGGTGATTCAGTTGCCATTTTAGGCAATGCAGAATGAAACGTGTGTCCTGTAGATATAATGACAGGAGTCATGTATATTTCCTGTTAAAATTGCCAGTAGTATTGTAGTGATAGTGGTAGTAAGTGGAAGACTAAGACTGAAAACAGTATAGGACTGAAAACGTGTAGGGAATTTACAAGGCAACCGCAAATACTCCCTAGAATGTGAGGGACATTTTTCTCAAAGCTGCTTACTTTCCGGAGAGAATCTGACTAGTTTTCTCAGAGAGTCTTGTTGATTGGAAAATTGAAAAGATCAAGTCTAAAAGACTTTTAGAAGAAATAGCAAGGAACTTAGAATGAACTTCCAGTTCCTCTCAGAAACCCTTTGTGAAGCTCTGACCTTTTCCATTAGTACTTCTCAAACACACAGATCATCTGACGGTCTTGCTAATGCGCAGATTTGGTTCAGTGGATCAAGGGTATGGGGCTGCGATTCTGTATTTCTGTCAAGTTCCCAGGTGAGGCCAACACTACAGGTCCACAAATCCCCCTCTGAATAGCAGTATTCTAAAATATATTTTAGGTCTCACAACAGGTAATCATACTTATTTTGAAATTGTGTAACAGCTCTCTCGTCAGACTGTGAGCTCTATTTCCCATGTCTGGCAGCACATACACATAATGAGTGCTGGATATTTATAATCAATTCTTCCGTCAGTGGTTTGTATTATTCAGAGGTATCAATAACTTAAATTGTTATGGGTGGATTTTTTTTGTGTGTTTTTGGGTGTTTTTGACTGAGAAATTGAAGCAATTCTGTTCGGGAATAGGCACCAGAATACAATATAAAAGTTTTATCTGAAGTTCAGCAAACATTCACTGTATGACCCATGAGAACATAGGCTCATGCAAAGACTTGTACTTGAATGTTAGTTTTACTAACAATAACAACAACAAAAAACCCTGTAAAGAACCAAACATCTATTACCTGAAGAATTGATAAATAATTGTGGTATAGCCATATGATGGAATACTACTTAATTAGAAAAAGGAATGAATTCCTGGCACAGACAGCAATGTGGACCATTCTTTCAAAAGCATTATACTAATTGAAATAAGCTAGAAATAAAATACTTATTTATGATTCTATTTAAATGAACTTTTAGAAAAAGCAAAAGTAAATTGATAAACCGATCAGGGGTCAGGAACTGGGGAAAAGGGAGTTGGCAGTATAAAGGAACCTGGGAACTTTGGGGAGGTTGATGAAAATATTTGATACGATTTTGGTGGTGGTTATGGCTAAGACACCTCACATTGTACACCTAGCAGTGAATTTTATTATGTAAAAAATTTTATCTCAAAGTTAATTCAAACAATTAGCCACAATCATTAACTTGCTAAGATCTAATATTCCTTGAAGGTATCTTATCGGTGGGTATTAATGTAATAAAATAAAGAAAGTTTCCACTCTGGGAGAGAAATGGGTCTCTGGGAGAAAATATGAATAAACAGTAGGAATACAAGAAGTTCCCATAAAAGCTTCTTTGTGTATGTTCAATGTAGCTGAATCTGAAGGGAGAGATCTTGAAAACAGGAACTTCAGTTCATTTATTTTTAGCATCCGGTATAGTATGCTGTTTGCTGAATGATTTTAGTGTGCCCACTGTGCTATTAAAAAACAAAATTCTGCTGAAAAATCATTTCTATGCTTTTTATATTCGTTGCAGTGAGCACACTCAATTATCAGGGGAGCATTCAGTCATCTGCTTT